ACAAAGGCTAGGAGAAAGTCTTCCTTTAAGCAGGTCTCTTTGTTCAAACGTGCTCATTTCCTGGTTCTAGGCTAGGCCCTGCAAGGAATCGAGAATCTGACCTGCGGCAAAACTCATGGCCCGTCTTAAACCTTGGTACCATTTCTCTGATCAACGCGGTTATCTCAGTTCGATTCTCTGTGCCTCACATTCAAAAGGGCCTGCAGACTTCCCTATGCCATCCTTCCCATGTGCCTTTTAGTATCAAAGGTGGCTCTGCCCCCCCCCCCCCCGCCCCACAATCTGTCCTTCTGCATCTCAGGAAGGGAACATTGATTTTCTATAATCAGATGCAACAGAACGCAAATGGCCGGCAAGGAATATTGTGTTATAGTTTCCAGCAGTGACTGTTCCCATGGCCAAGGTCCTTCATTATTTGCTCACAAATCGGTTTCATTCAGCAAAGTACTGCTCAGATCCTTGATAATACTTTGTTTTGCTGCACTGGATTGCCGTTTATAGCCACCCGCCACCCTCCAGCCATTATCATAAATCAGTTTGGAAGGAAGCACAGGAAGAGAACACAGAAAATACGGAACCGCAGCCGCTAAATCATATTAGCATGTGCATGGTCATAAGAAGTGGGAGAACAAAAGAGGAAAGAGGGGGGAAATGCTAGTAGAAGCGAACTGATTTGGAAGCAATGTAGTTCTGGGCATTGCTGGACCTCCAGGAGCAGCCCAGAAATTGACCGACGGGAACACGCTGACGGTACTTCCACGTGAAGCTTCTATTCATGCCGCAGGATTTCACACGGGGACCAGACAGAGTCTTTCCTTTGTAACTCTCACGTGTTTTCCCAGTGCTGCTTCCATTGTTGTTCCGTAGCACAAAATATGCACCGAAGGAAAGGCAGAGCCATTGTGTGGTGTCCTGTGACTCACGGTGCTAGAAGCTGTCTGTCTGAAAGGAGCCAGCATCTTGCGCTGTATACAAAACAGAGGAGCTGCCATGGAGGAGGAGAACATGCCGCAAGGCAACCTGGAGCAAGCCAGCAACCTGCAGCTGAGATGATTTGTTACAAATTTGAATATTTGTGAATGTGCACTCGGCCTTTCTTCCGCCAAGTGTGACATTTACCAAGTCCCAAGACGCCTATTCAGAAAGTCACAGATAAACTGTGGGGGGTGGGGGGGAGTTACGGAGAAGCCCATGCAACCTTCTCTTCTTACAAACTTCTGTTTGGCTTGCAACCCTTTTTGAAACAGGCAGCTTTTTTCTAAAAGCTCCTCTGTCTTTCTGACTCCGTCTTGTTCTGGTGAAGGAATCTTTCATGTTCTGAAGGCAAGGGGGCATCTTGAGCATCGCTGTGAATCCCAGTGTGTCAGCTTCATGTGCTAGATGGCCCTGAAAGGCCTCTGATCCAGGCACCTGGAAAGGTTCACAATGGAGCGCAGTGACATCAGCCTCTCCTGCAAGGCGAATTCACTTCCTGGTGCAACATATACTTGGCTTGTGAATGGGAAGCAACAGGAACCTGACCTGCTCATCCAAAACATTGCCTGAGAGCAGACAGGATTATACCCACTAGACAGGAAGTTAAGTTACTCCGTGGAGATGGCGATGGTCTGTGAATAGAGCTGCCAGGTTATTAACGAGGACTGGCAGATACTCCCGTATCACGCTAGTCCGCTATCGTCCGCACTGGCTGCCAATTGAAGTCCAGCCCAATTTGAGGTGCTGGTAATGACCTGTAAGGCCCTAAGCGGCTTGGGTCCTGGATCCCTGAAGGAGCGCCTTCTTCCCTATGTGTCTGCCTGCTCACTCCTTGCGATCTGAGCCAGAGGCCAGATGCCCTAGAAGACCAGAAGACTTTGGCAGAACTTCCTTAGGCACCAGTGTGCCTTATTACTGCTTTAAGGGAGAGCAACTGAGTGAAGCTGGAGATGGTCTCTTTCTCAGTGCGGACGAGCAGACGTCCTCCACGCGAGCACCAGCGGCGATGCTGCTCCTGCTGTGGGAACGACACCGCTCCTCCGGCTCCAGTGGACCTCACCGGCGGGGCTTCATCTGTTGGTCTAGCAGCAGGCAGCTCAGAAACTGCAGCCAAGTGGCACCTCATCGGTCAGACCCAGCCCAGAGCCAGTTCTCGGCTGGCCCAACCTCTCCAGCTGATAAAACCTCTCCAACTGATAAAAATGGCCTTTGAACCCCTGCTCAGCCTCATCAAAGCTGACCCTGCCTGGGTCACAGTCTTCCTCTTTGCTGGGAAATGTATACGGTGGGGCTGGACTTCTGGACTGGGAGTGCTCTGTCCTGAACTAGCGTGTCGGCTATTTTTGCTGCCAGCCTCTGCTCCTGACACAATTTTTGCTTCCAGGCTCTGCTCCTGACGCAAACTGCTCCTTGGCAATTTGAGAAAATCTCCTGGGTGCAGCCACAAAATGGCTGCCATGGGAGGTGTGCCCAGAAGACTGATTACAAGGCAGGGGTGATGCCTGCGAACCCCCTGGTCCCAGTGCCCCCACAAACCTATTTCTCAGCAATCACCATTGTATGTAAGAAAAAAAAATCTAAAAAGGTAGGAAGGGGATGACACGTTTGGCCAAGAAGGTACCTCATTATTAGCATCAATAGCAATTATTAATATTATATATTAATATGTAATTAATATAATGATCATATGTGGTCTATAGTATTAATATTAACTATTAATCAGTATTGGCATCCTATTGCCTGCCCGTCTCAGCAGGCTGAAAGGCTTTTGGAGCTGATGCTGCACGCTCAATGTCTTTGAGGACCCAGGAAGTCCCCTTCGTGGGGCACATGGAAGCCCAGTGGCTAGTAGCCAGGCATTCAGAGTGGCTTCCCTGTCTGCCTTTGGGTCCCCAGCCCTGTGAGCCATATCCCTTGCTTTCACAACCAGTCAGGTTAAACCCAGTGCTGCTGCGCAGAAATCAGAAATAATGATCTGGTTTCATGACCTCTTTCCACTGATAAGTGAGCCTGCTGGAATCTTGTGAAGACGGAACAGAAGGTGACATCCTAAGGAGCTTTCTGGTCCTCAGAAGACGAATACCAAAGGAACGGCTCAAGAGCGGGAACTGATCTCCTAAATTGAGCTTGAAACCCTCCCCTCTGCGTATCAAAGAGGAACCAGAAACTCAAAGAGCAATTATCCTGAAGATAAGTGATTATGTCTTTGCATCAAAACGCTCGGAATATTCTCTAGGCATTCACTTCCCAGAATTTGGCTTCATGCTGCAATGCTACAAGCTGTCCATTGCGCTGTAGTAGTGGCTGAGTAACACCAGCTACTACAGGTGCAGCCTGATTCTTTCCAACAAGAGGCTCTCCTGTGTTTGCTCCAGATGGGCCTGATGGGCCAATGATTGATCCCAAGGAGCATATCTATGGGGACCTCCCTTGCTCTGCCCGCTCCAATCCACCTGCAAGTATTCTTGATATCCTAATGGGGATCTATCAGAGCGCCAGAACTAGCCAGGTTGGAGTCAGTGCAGCGTCGAGCCACAAGGGTGGTGGCCAGACTGCAGGGGAAGCCGAATGAGGCGAGACTGAGGGAGCTGGGTCTCTGCAGCCTGGAGAAGAGGAGCCTCTGAGGGGACCTGTTGGTGACATAGAGGTGCATGAGGGGGTGTCACACAGGGGTGGGTAGAGACCTGATCTCCCCTTCAGAGGATGCCCAGGTTAGATGTTGGCCAACCTGTGGTTGAAATATGCTCTACGTAGATATTCCGTTTATTGTAAACATGCTATGAAATTAGCGGCTGGCTGTTCAGATTCTGTCCTGCAACTTGATATCTTGGGAAGGCTATTTTCCGACCAACATGTGGGTGTGATTGTGGTCCGATGCCTGCATTTCTGCCTGAACTTTCTTACTAGGCGGATGTTGTGTCCTGGTGTCCACTCTGCTATTTGTCATTTCTTGGACTGTTCTCCTCTGCTGCCTCCCCACTCCTATACCCGTTTTCCAGTTGATTTCCATTTTAGATCCATGTTTTCCATTTGTCATTCATTCTTCATGACACTTGTCATTCGTTCTTCAGACTCACTTCAGTGGGTCATGCCTCATGTCCTTTCAGTTCCATGCTGCTCCATCAGGCTCTGGATAATGACCACTCCAAGTCAGGTCTTGATGTGCCATGATGCTTCCATGGTCAGGTCCAACTGAGTTCTTCGTCTTGCATTCTCCAACAGCTTCTGGACCTTCTGCCTTTCCCAGGACTTGCCTCTCAATGCATTTTCACCTGTCAGCGGACCAACTTGAATAACCAACAGGAACACCATATAATTTCCTGGCATTTGTCCTCTTCCGTGTGCCTTGTCTTCAAGCCCTTTCCTTCTGGAGTGTTGACAAGTTGGCCAACACCGACCTGAGACGTCAGATCCCACCAGCAGGCACTGACTTGATGCCACAGGTCATGTATATTCTTTCCTTCTGACTGTTTGTCTCATCTTTCTGAAATTACCGTGGGCCTTATCTCCATCCTCTTGGTCTTCTGTGGATGATGATGCCTGTCCCCACACGGGACTTGAAACTTCTCCACTGCTTTGCCCAGAAACTACAACTCACTCATTCGCGGAGGAGCGATCCCGTGTACTCTCCTTCCCTGTAGCAACACTTCTCCATGGTCCACTTTTGTACCTAATTCCCGTTCAGCATTTGCCTGCTGTTGAACATGCCTCCTACATTGACAAGCACAGGCAGTCCAACAGGGCGCTTGGTGAGGATATGGAAGCATTTCTGTGCACATCGTCTTACTCTTTCCATCCACTGACTTCACTGCTACATAATTTAGTTTCCTCAGTGAGCAAATGGAGCGTCACTTCTCCACAATGGCCAGGTCACACAGCCCAGTGACTGCTTAGGTAGCCACGGAAGACTGGATCTTGACGTTGGGGACGATGGGCTACTGTGAGGAGGTACACTGATTTCACACACCCCGCTCCTCAGATAACGCCCATCCCTCCCCTTGCTATCCTGTTTTCTCTCTCTGCAGAGCCAGTCAGTAGCATCACCATCCAGGGACCCGAAAATGTGTTTGAGAAGAACATCACGGTGCTGAACTGCACCTCCTTGGGCACCAGTGTTGCGTACCATTGGTTAAAGGGGGACCAGAGGCTGGAGGCTGGAGGGCACATCACTCTGAGCAGCAGTGGCCGGACCCTCCAGCTCAGCCCAACAAACCGGAGTGACTCGGGGGTCTACACCTGCTATGGAAACAACAGCATCTCTAATGCAAGCACCAACCATTCGCTGGATGTTTTCTGTAAGTCTGGCTTGACAGTTGAGGGACAGTAGAGAGGAATTTGGGAATGTGGGAAACTGTCTCGGGCCCTGAAGAGTGCAAGAATATAACTTTTCAAGGGAAGCCCCTGTGCCCGGCTTTTAACGGAGCTATGGGACTGACATACACAAAGCAGGCAGAGCCAATCCCTCAAAGATGTTTGCCTGATGTGAACAATTAACACTCAGACCTTTAAATCATGCCCAATCTTGGCTGTCCTTACAACCTCATTTTTCCACAGCTATGACAACCCCTTTGTTGCATTATGTCATTTTTAAAAAATCTGAACATGTCAACTCTATCAATACCCTTGGAATAAATCAACAGGACCCAACAATGCTTCTCTTTTAACATGCAAAGTGTGCACTTGGTCCTGAAGAGAAGAGTCACTTTTTCCCCTAAGGCACGTCATTCGAGGTAGCTAGTTTTTCTTCTTCTCTTTCGGTCTAGCATGCTTTGCTCTCATAGCAAGAGAGTCCATAAAATGGCGTTCTGGTTATCTTGACCTGTGAATCCAGGGGCCGCTCGTGGATTCAACCAGGGACTGGAATGTTTAGGTGGTGTCAGAATTCCTTCCTAGGGTCCCCATCTTTAAAAAACAGGGTTCCTGAGAACTAGACAAATTAAAACTGCCTTACATTTGCAATGCAGACTTGCACTATGGGAAATGGCTAATGGATGGGGAGTGATCAGTTTAAACCTCCCAAGCCAACAGTTCTATGTGGTCTGAACAGACGTATTCCCCACAATTTTGCTTTAGAGAACAAAATCGCACTCTGTATGCAAATAGGTAGGCGTGTGCCAAGCCAGATCTTGATGCATTGAATCTAAAAGGGCGTCCAAACCCTCAATGAGCTTACTGGATTTCCCCTGTGACTCTCCTGTATTTGCTCCAGATGGGCCTGATGTTCCCGTAATCAGCCCCAATACCCAATATTATGAAGAGGGCTCCAGTCTTAAACTCTCGTGCAAATCCTACTCCAACCCACCTGCGCTATACACTTGGCACTCAGACAAGACTGTACAACCTGGAGACACCTTCCGGATCTTTAGCCTGTCTTTAAATGACACTGGAAATTATACCTGTGATGCTTACAACAATAAGACCTTCTCAACCCAATTTGCAGTCCTGGAGATCTGGATAATGGGTGAGTATTCGCGGAGTTAATACGAATCCCACAGGCTGCATAAGTCCGTTCAAGCTTAGTGATATTCCTTTTCTCGTGGTAGTGGTGTATCTACCTGTCCTGTCTCCTGCTTCCGGTGGGCTCTTCCTGAATCCAGATTTCTTCTGTCTGCCCACCAGCCTCTCTTCCTTCGACCACTGTCCTCTGGGTAATGACTTTACAGGGGCTCTGTCTCCCACACTTGGCTGCCTGTGTTTATTCCCCTGTCAGTAGCATCTTCAAACGGAGATCAATAGAATGCATTTTTTTCTGGATATTTCACTGCCCTGGCAAACACATCATACTGTTTCTCTTCAGTTCATTCTCCAAACTCCATCCTTCCCTAGGACACAGTTGTATGTACTGAAACAAGTTCAGAATCTATATGTGTATCTGTTTATGGGTTCCTTTTAAAGGTGTGGTACTCACAAGCTCTTGCTTTTCCCTCCCTCCTTCCCTCCCTCTCTCTCTCTCTTGGGTGTCTCCTTGCAATTCTTGTCAGATCTATCCACCAGTGACTAAAAATTAAAACCTCTATTATCCATGGAACTTGGCTGTGTGACTCAAAGCAGGACCCCAACTGCCAGCTATCACTCAGAACTGCTTGGGTTTCTTTGGAGTTCCTTCTTGCTCTTCTGTCAGTAAATGCAGTGAGATGGCATTTTAGAAATCCATTTGAGCCCTCCTTGGAAGATATTGAGGTAACTGCTGTATGGTCTTTTCTCTGCATGTTTTACAGTTTATTCCTTGGTAACTTCACGTCTACTAATTCTCCTTTTCCAACAGTGGTTCTACAATACTTTTGTACTTTAAGACAGCTGGGTTTTCCAGTTGTCTTTGAACACCAAGTACACACATTAGTAGGAACATGGCCAACATTGTCATAATCTGTATGGGTTGTTCCTATTTCAGGTGCTCTGTCTGTAATAATAAGAAAAAAAACTAGTTTATGGGAGCAGTCTTTTCACTATCTTTCTGAAGGCAGAAGTGCGTGTCTGATCAAACCTCAGTGAAGCCCACCTTCAATTAAAAATTCTGTTTTGGGATATGAAAGTGGAGGGGAAACCATTAAGAGGCATGCTGTACTGTTAGTATAGTTTTGTAAAATAAAGATAGTCCAATGAAATGCTGGTAACAAAGGTTTTTTGGGGGAAATTAGGGAATAAAGTAATAAAGGCTAGGTGATTCAGAGAGAGAATGCCTCGTCGTTTCCTCAGCTCTGAAATTGCTATCTTGAGATAACAGGATTATATTAATGGCAGCTGGGCATGAGGGACCAGTTTTTCAGCTCATTTTTCACAGCTAAAAGAATTACAACCAATGTTCTTGGTTTACAGGAAGGCCTTCGATCGCTTAGTCATTTTGTCCCATTGGCACTGGAATGGCTGGATCGTCCAGCCAGTGCCAGATGAACAAGCAGTGGAAGATATGAATGGCTAGTAGTAGAGATGAGTGCTTGAAAAGACACTGGCTCATTCCAGCCCTTCAGCGGCCATGCAGCTCCTCCCAGGGCTTTACCTGTCCTACTTTGGCTAAGCTGTCGCCCTGCAGCAGAGGATTCCGTAGGCCACATGCATTGGACTGGGAGGGGAGACGAACCATCGCTTAGCTGCTGGGGGGACAAAGCTCCTATGCAAGTACCTTTCCAAATCCATCGCAGTGTCCCCACTCAGGCCCTGGAATATCCAGACACTTGAGCCTCGGAGTTCTGCATCTATGCCTCAGTTTTGGCCATGCTTGCTTTCTCTCTCTCAAGATTCTTGGAAACCCTGGTTCTGCAAAAGAAGCCACCGATCCTCTTTAACAGAGAATTCTTTGCAGCATTGCTAAGCAACAGTCCTCAAGAAGATTAAACTTTAACTTCAAGAGTTTAAGTGCTTGTGGAGATGGCTTTGGTTCTGAGGGGGCCTGAGCAAAGTATGCCCTGGCAGAAGACATCTTTGTGTCAGTCCGGGCAAGAGTCCATTGTGCATCAGACTTCTGTGCAGTCTCGATTCCTAAATATATCCTTCTCGTGGCTGCACAAGAAGATGCTGACCCTTCATTTAGGACATCATAAGAGGGAAGATAAGAGTAGGAAACAAAAGGATTTGAAAAAGTTCCAAGCCACTGGGGAAAAGACTGGCTAAGCAACTAGGGTTTTTAAGCTGTGTTTAATTCTTCATTTGCAAATAGAATTCTTCTGCAACTGTTTTGTTCCCCTTTTGGAAATGCCAACGAGATGGTTTTAAACCAACATGACTAGAATTCATTTTGTCCATTGCTCTGAGCCATTGTTCACCTAAAATGAATTTAGTGCATGGGTGTAGTGGGTTTGCATGTTTACACATACATTTGCACATATAAAAATGGGCACTTGTGAAGCAGAAAGCATAATTACCCCGGCTGGAAGTTTTCCTCCTGTGTGTAAGGAAATACACAGAACCCTATGGAGATCTTCCTAGGAATCCCAGTTTTCATTACACACACACACACACACACACACACACCAATACCAATCTTCTGCTCCTTAAGACTATGAAATTATCCTTGAAAACATGTGGGCAAATAGCTGCTGAAATTTCAGAAGCCGGAGAAAACACTTGATTATAGGTTGCTTTGCCCCCATGAAAAAGCTTGAATCAATTAGGCAAAATAGAAATTGCATAATAAATCATGCAGATTAGAGGAACTGGGTGGAAACCTTCTAGAAGAGGCTCTTAGTCTTCAACTGCCCTGCCGCCAACGCAGAATTTTGTGTAGCTCTAGATGACAACATCTGTCGCTCTCCACTGATTTCCCAGGGCTGCATCTTAGCTTCTTTTTACTTCCCTTGACAAATCAATTCAAAGAAGCCAGAATATTCTTGTGACTGCTTGGTGCAAGGAGTGGTCCCTCTGATGACACCCAGGCCCACAGAAGTCCACTTTTCTTGATGCAGAATTGGGGGGATTGCTTGGGCTAACATGGATGTGTTGACTTACTGGATCCAGCCTGGCATGGCAGGCAGAGTAGTGGACTGAGCCTGGAATGATCCGGGTTCGAGTCCCCGCTCAGCCACGAAGCTCACTCGGTGACTTTGGGCCAGTCACAGACTCGCAGCCTGACCTAGTTCATTGGACTGCTTTTCTGAAGAGAGCCCAGAGAGGAAGAGGAGCTCGTAAGCCAACTTAGGGTCCTCGCAAGAGGACAATCAGCTGGGATATAAATGTAATGTAATGATATTAATTGTGTGAGTATGGATGACTCAGAGGATCAGATGGTTCGATGTGCTGAGCGATGGTGTGCGTGACTCCTGGCTGCTATGACAACTGGCCACGAGTCTGTTCTGTTCTGAAAAAGTCCAGCTCTGGGCCTGGCTCCAGGTTCCACCTGGACTGTTGTTGCTGGCTCTTGGTGGTGATGTTTATTGTGCGTGATCCAGGGCTCTGTACCAATTTCCTGGCAGGAAAAGCCACAGTTGGCTAGATTGAAGAGAGGAACTAGTGGGACTGCTTTTGTCTGCAAAAGCTTCTTTCTCTTGTCTGTTTGCTCTGCCATTTCTCTTCCTGGAATTTGCAGCTCGCTGCTTTGTTTATCTTGTCTCTCCCATTCCACCTCCGATTAACCCGATAGCTGTCATTTGTGAACTCTAAATCGCCCGTTGGCCTGCATTTCTGCACACCGCTTGTCTCCCCAGAGAGCTAACTGCAACTCTACCGACTTCCTTTCTTGCATTTCCTTACTGTGCTGATAAAGCCCAGCCCTAAAGTGAGAAACAGCAGAGTGATTTTTAGTCATCGGAGGGAATATCCCAGCTCAATATATTCATGTCGCAGTGACAGCGATCATTTATAGTGCATTGCATCTCTCTCTTTCATATGTATCTCATGTAATTTTTCATCTAACTAATTCAGGCATTAGCTTCACCACCTGCCTTTCAACCCTGATAATATATCCCAGGTCCCAGGGAATGCGCGGAAAGCGTTCTTCTCGCCCCATCCACGCCACAGTTCCCAGCGCTGGTCGCTTTCTTCCTCCACGTAAAAGAAAAGTCAACACAAAAACCAAGCTCACATATATAGGCGATCGAATTTAAATATCAGTAAACAACGGGTGCCTCTCTAAATCGGATTAAACCACACAGCACTAACCAAAACTGCTTCACTCCATCCCTGAGCATTGCCACGAGGCCTGGCGAGTTATCTGCGGGTCCTCGGTGAACGGTGTTTTGAGAGCCAGGGCAGGGTCCTGCTGACCGATGGCAGCAGCGCTGGCGTGGATGAGTGTGGCCGGCCGCCCGCCCGCCAAAGCTCACACTCCAGCAAAGGGCCTGCTTCCCCCAAAAGCTCAGCATTTCCTGGGCATTGCTCCTGCACCTGCCCTCTTCAGACGAGCAGGTGAGCAAGCAGCAAGAGGAGGAAGTGCCTTCCTGGCACACCTTGTCCAGTGGTGTCGGTCACCCCCAGAAGCAGAGGGAACCCCATGGGCAGGGCCTCTGAGAGGGCCCCCCTCCGCCTCGTGGGGGCCGGAGGAGAGGGGTGGTCCCCCCCAGAGCACCTTTTCCCCAATCCCCCAACACCTGCAGATGGCGCTGCATTGGGTCCAGCGGCCCAGGTCCTTGCAGGCCCCTCAAGGAAAGCTTCACTAGTTCTGCTCACGACGTGCGCTCAAGGGCTGAGCTCGCCACTTCCCTGCCTGCTCTTATGCGTTGCCACTTCTCCTCCTAAAATAGAAGCCCAGTGGTCGCCCTGGAGGGAGAGCTGCTTATGCTGAGCTCCCTGGCTCTCGTTAGCTTTTCCCCCATGATGAGGGGCACGTCCAGGACCGCGGAGCATTTCAGTTCCCGCAGAAGACTAGGATCCCCAACCCTTCCTGTTTTTGCCCCTTCTGACCTTGGAACCCAAAATATTAGTAAGAGCTGCAGATGCTTCTGCAGTGGGTGGGAGGAGGCACTGAAGGTCAGAGCTCCCCTTCCAAGAACACACCTCTCCACCTTCAGGGACGAGAGCTGGCAAAGCCTGCAGCCCCGGGTCCGGAGCTAAATACTATGGATTTACAAGCTTTGTATGCTGTTTAGAAGTTGCCAGCAGAAACTGTACAAAGCACATCCCCACAGATCGCTAGGCACACCCAGCTTGGCACGTTCCCCATGTGAAGTCTCCCCTCTAAAAACGACGTCCTCACTTCTTTCTTCGTTATTCCGATTTGTATGCCGCTGCAATAGCCCATATTGGTTATTGGTGTCCAAGTTCTGAACAGGACAAGGACAGGCACTCAAAATCAAATGCCGATGAGTTTTAAAGGTGGCCAACCCAGTATAGTTTGCTGAAACCAAAGCGAGAGAGACAGAGAGCAAAAAGCAGAAACTAAAAACTCATTTTCTTAAGAACTTCTTAATGCTTGGTTTCCAAGCATGTGGCCCCACATTTTTCCCAACTGCTTATCTATAAAGCCTCTCTTGGGTTGCACTTTGCATCGGCCTTGCAAAGTGCTTCTAAAAAGGGAAGCAGCAAGGGCTTTTGCTAAACTTCACGACTTCTTTCCTCGCCTAAGCAACAGAGGTCTTGCTTTGTTCCAGAAAGACTGCCAAAGTGGCCCTGTGCGCCGCATCTGGATGAGAGTTTCATGGTCCCATTGTCATGCCTCATTCCATTCTTGGGAACCCAGATGATACCATCTCGCAGCTCTCTCATGTCTGCCCACCATTTTCCTCTCCTTTTCTCTTGTCAGAAAAAAAAATCAGGAGGAAGAGATGGAATTTGCAGCACAAGGACTTCAGAGTCCAGTCTAGAAGTGCCCACGCAGTCACGTTCTCGGCCCTTTGTGTCCTTCCACCAGTGGCATTCAGAAGAGCCCATGATCTTGACCATGCACAAATTCCTCAGATGCTTTAGTATAATATCTCATATTATGCTTCCAAAATAACAAGACTCTGCTTTCTAAATCGTGTGATTCCCCCCACATGCTTTAGCAGCAGTGAAGTCAAGAGAAGCCCTTCCTCATCTTCCAGAGTCCCCTAAAGATGGTCTTCCTTACTGGTTGCATGTGGTGGAAATTTGTCCAACTTTGGTGGCCATAAAAACCCAGGAAGGATAACCAACTTTCCATTTTGTGCACAGAAATACTCAACAGACCAGCCCTGACACCCGAAAGTATCACGATGGTAGAGAACAGCACCGTCGTCTTGCAGTGTAGTACTTCCACCAGCTCCAGGGTCATCGTCTCCTGGCTGAAAGATGTTGCCCCTGTCCGAGGCACGGCAGAACTATCTAATCAGAACCGAACCCTCACACTACCTGGCATCACCAAAGATGATGCTGGCAGCTATACATGCGTGGTCAGCAACCCCGTCAGCAACGCTTCGAGCAGCCCAGCTAACCTAGTGGTGCAATGTGAGTAAATCCAGTTTAATATGCCTTGCCTCCCATTGCTGCATGTCCCTGGCAGGGGGGGTGTCGCTGATTCCCCCCCCCCCCCATTTCTTAAACGGGAAAGGCTGGGGCTCAGCCCTGCCGGGAGGGTGCAAGCACCCTGTTTGCCAGCCCTTGCGGTATGGAGGGCTACTCAGCTGGGCAGTCCTCCGGAGGAGCGCAAGCCTGCCCGTCCCTGCATTCCCTCTGTTCCAACATTGGACCCCAGGGTTGAAAACAGCTCCAAGAACGACCTCTCGGCAAACCCAATCTCCGAGGAAGCCCTCTCGACCCCAGGGATGTTGGCGAAAGACCTCTTAAAGCAAGCACAGGGGTCTCACAGAGGCCGCGCGGTGAGGCCCCTTCGGCAGCCCCTGGACCCCCGGCAGCAGTAGACCCTGCCCACGGGATAGTGCTGAGCCCCTGTGCCCCCTCCCTTGTTCCCACCGCTTTGCCCTGATTCTGCTCCGTTTCCTTTCTAGATGGGCCGTATGATGTCCGCCTGAACCAGTCAGGAACCATATCAGAGACCCTGGGTTCCCTTTTGGCTCTGCAGTGCCTTGCAGACTCCTTCCCTTTGGCGAAGTTTCAGTGGTTTTTCAATGATACCGATCAGAACGTAGACAAAGACACCTTCAGTGTGCAGTTGAAAACCTGGGAGAACGGAGGAGTCTATAAATGCCAGGCTTACAATGCCAGAACCAATCGCACTGGCTCAGAGTCTGTCACAGTGACGCTGAAAAGCAAGGGTGAGTGCCCGTCCTGCACTAGCCTTGGGTTCCACCATGTTTGGAGCGCCACACTCCCTCCTCAGTCTTGTTGGAGAGGGAAGTCACCAGCGAGAGCTGGAGGCAAGCCGCCTATGGGGCAGGGGGTGGATTCCTTGGGGGAGCGTTGGACTGGATCCAGGCTAAAGCGGCTGATGACAACGGCCATTGGTCTGAATGGAGCGAAGTGCGGTTAGGCGTCTGGATCCAACCCACTCATTTGTCCAGGGCTGCCTTTTGCTGGCTGTTCTCCGGCTCCCTTGCTTATGTTCGCATTTATAAAGCAGAGTTGACTTGTAGCAGCACCCAATAAAATAAACAAAATGAGATACGATCGAACAATGAATGACTTCAAATAAATCAAGCATTTGCTATCGTCTGATAGGCAGAAGGCGAAAAGGGTAAAACTTTTCTCCTGCCTCGCACTTAAGACTCACCAGATCAATACAGGTGACAAGGAATTTCAGGTGGACAGGTGGGCAGGTTGGTGAAGAGGGGACGGCTTATTTTGTCCCTCCTCCATGCCCAGTTGAGCTGGGTGCCAGAAGAGGGGAGAAAAAATAGCAAGCATCTAGAAGATGGATGAAGTTTTCCACTCCTCTTCGACCGCCATTCTGCAGTGGGGGGGGGGGGGGGGGGGGCAGTCTAGTAACTTTTTTCCAAGGCTGCCTTCCATCATGGCCTCCACCTGCCATGCATGAAGTTTCTGCAGGTCAAACCACAGTTGAAAGACAGAAACAGGATTTTAATTGGATTTTTACGGCAAACCCTAGCCTTATTTTCTGCCTTTACTCCCAAATGGCAGAAAGTTTACACAAACTTTGGTAGGGTTCATGTGCACCTGTGTATATGTTATATTAAAGGATTTGGTGGCCCGTGAGATATGTCTGGGTGGCATGAGCTGAACAGGAGTAGACCAAACACAAATTGGGGCCCAGCTTAAGATCACAGTTTTATGCTTCGTATTCAGGATGCCACCAGAGATGCACGCTGAATCTTTTTAGGATCGACCATTTATCAGGAAATGGGGCAGCTTGTCTGCTCCTGCTTTTCTCCCTACCAGCCCTGCATGTACCTTTCTTTTGTTAGCTGCAATGAAATGGAGCTCAGAAGGAAAAGAGCAGACAGAAGGGCGGGACCAAGTAGCAGAAGCTACGGTTTTGTTCCAAATCTAGGAGGCATTTAAAACAGCAAATTGGAAACTGGATGCTATGGGAAAATGGCTAATGTGTCACAAGAAATAGATTGGCCGACTAGTGAAAGGCCATGCATTCCGTAGTTTAACCATGTGCTCTTTGAAGACATCCTTCATTTTTCTGGACCCTCCCACCAATTGGCTGCATGGGGCTATTCCAGTGACAGTATTCCTTTTTTTCCACACCATGCATAATGTTGGACACCTCTGCCGTGTATATTCATGGAGGAAAGGTAAAACTGCTGGAATCGGCCTGGTCCCATATGGACACCGTGTACCTTTCTCCAAGACGGCCTTCTGCAGATGTGTTGGTCTGCAGCTGCCTTGATTTGCAGAATTACGGAAGCTGCACACCAGAATGGGAAAGGCTGCGGTAATAGAGTTGAATGTGGTTTTCTTTTGTATTTTGTACCTCACCTTGAGAGCTTCTCAGGGCCATAAAGCAAAAATATAGCAGTGTTCCAAATAAATAATGACACGGCCTCAAAAGAGGCTGCACGGACGCCTAGGTTCACCTCGCCTTTTTGATCAGGATGGCGTGTTTGGATGAGCGGCACAGAGAAGTGCGTAACAGACAAGGCTTATCTGAGGGTAACGCCTTCACTAGTAACGCTCTCAGACACACGCCATGCAGAATGTTCGTGCACGACAGGGCCAAGCGAGTCTCCCATTTTAATTCAAAAAAGTATATCTGAGCCACTGGACTTTTGCAGAAATGCTGAGCTTAAAGAAACCGTCAGTGGAGGCAGTTGGCTCTAATGTCCTCAGGGCCCCTCATCTGTTCTGAACTTTAGACGGGAAACACCGGAGCCACCAGCCTCCGCTGCGTTTGGCACTGCAGCTTGGCAGCCCTGGTTGTTCTTGTTGTGCTCTCTTGTACAGCAGCATCGAAGTATCTGACGCGACTTTGGTCATCCTGAACAATGACACACAATCACACAGCCAGAAACCCAGAATTCACAGGAAAAATTTTAAGGGGAAGTAACTCTGTGCTGGGATGCTCTGCTTCAGGTGTGCTTAGTGTCCAAATAAGATTGTTCCAGTCCCCAGAAAGCAGAGCATGTGAGACAAAATGGGTCACAGTTCTTTTCCATCAGTACTGGAAAGAGAGAGGTTTGAGCCAGACTTAATTACTGCTTTTAAAGAAATTACTTTCCAAAGTGAGAAGGAACCTGCCCCTTAGATCAGGCCGCTTTTTCCTGTAGCCCAGCAATGTGGTTCCAACTTGTAATTGCTCAGGAGTACTTAGTGGTAAGGAAAAAGCACTCTGCTGATATGCAAGGACATAAGATGACCTGCCATGCTTAAGAGCTCCGGAAATTGTTCATCAGCTTTGTGAGCTCTCACTGTGGGTAAGTCCAGCACTCGAGAGGCAAATGGCTGTGAAGTGAGACAAGCATCGATACACCAAGTCAGAGAAAAATGTTGGGATACAGTTTTGGGATAAGAAAGTTTTTTCTTTCTTAGCCAGTCATGGCAAAAGAAAGCAAGGGAAGCTTTCGTTCCCATTTATCTCCAAGCCAAGAGAAACAAACAAATAAACAAACAAAATACATATTTTTTCTGTTGGCCATTAAAAGCTGTAAGAACCGCAGAGCCAGGGCAGTGTTTTGGAAAAGGGAAAATGGCCAGCTTCTCTTAAGGTGGAGAAAGGAGGGTGCTAGTGGTTCGTATCCTGTATTCGTGTGAGCAGATGGGTAGGGAGCGCTGTCGGAGGCGGAGTCGAGGGGGGGCAAAAGGCCCGTGGTGCAGCAGGGCCTCGCCACCCCCCAGGGCCACCGGCTTGTTCCCCTGCCTGGTGAGCAAAGCTGCCCCGCCGAACCTGCGCAGTGGCGCACCGCCTGTCAAGCCGCGCCGGTGGCATCAGCCTGGAAGGAGGGGCAGTCAGTGGCAGCTCGTGACACTGGTGTTAGGGAAATAGCTGCCCCAAGGGACGGGCCCCAGTCAGGCAGGGTGTGTGGTCCAGTGGCCCTCAGAAACCCGGGGCCAGCCCTGAAATGACAGCCACCGCTTTCCAAACCTCACCGGTCCCCTTTTTCCCTTCTTCCAGATCCTCCGCCTACGAACGGAGGGGGTTTGTCCAGTGGAGCGATTGCTGGGATTGTCATAGGCAGTCTGGTTGGAGTAGCGCTCATTTCGGGTCTGATATATTTCGTGTACACCAAGACTTCCTTGGGGTAAGTGTCGCATTCTGGTTTCCTTGTCTTGTCCCCTCAATGGGAACTTTCCCACTTCCTCAGCTTTTCCAGGACCTCCCTGCTCTGCTCAGCTGGTTTGAGTTGTCTCTTTGCTCGCTCGCAGGGTGGAAGCGGTCTCCCTGGTGGGGGTTTCTTTCCTGCCTCTCCATCCTGGGTTGGAGTCCTGCCCCACATACCACTTGGAGGCTATAAGGGTCCTACAGTCTGTGCCTTCCTCCCACTCAAGCACACGATCAGTACGCAAGATTGCCAGGTTCAAGGTGGAATGAACTAAACCTCTGTTACCGGTGCCATGCTTTGATGGGAGAAATTGCAAAAGCCCCAGTACCCTCTTTGATATAATTGCCAGAGCCCCAGGAGGTCTTTGAAACTGGTAACTTTAGATCATATATACATATGGGGGCAGGGGAATGACTGGACCATCTTTGATTGGAGAGATCCTTTAAAAAGAAAAAAAAGTCTTGAATAGTGTCAAAAAAGTACAGCAAGAATGTTAAGTTCAAGCCTTCCAGCTTTGATGTTTCATCTTTCTATAGCCCTCCCATTCAAAAGCATCCATGGTTGGAAAGTATATTCAGAAACAGGGATTGAGAGGATGGCAGTTCAAATTTATTTATTTATTTATTTATTTATTTATATTGCAATGTATATCCTGCCTTTTTCTTACAAAGGGCTCAAGGCAGCTTACATCTCCTCCTCCATCTTATCCCCACAACAACAACCCTGTGAGGTAGGCTGGGCTGAGAGTCTGTGACTGGCCCAAAGTCACCCAGTGGGCTCCATGGCTGAGCGGGGACTTGAACCCGGATCCTCTGAGTCCCAGTCCCATGCTCTTAACCACTACGCCACACTGGCTCTCAAATTAGGGTTGACCAGCACCGGAATGGACATTGTGGTGATGTTTGGTAGGAAAGGAAGTATTGTTCTCCCCCTGCCCACCTCCCCCCCCCACACACACACACACTACTACAGAACAATGCCACACGGAAAGCATTCTCAGGGAATGAATATGGCAGCCAAGCTGCCAAGAATGCTAATGGAGTGGGCAGTGCCATTTGCAGTAAGTTTAGTATTTTTAAAGATCCAGGCAACTACTGCCACCATGGCGAATCCTTAAGCTGGTGGCCATTCCGCCTCCGCACCCCCCCACCAGCCACCCCCTGGCACTGTCTCTGTGTGTGTGTGTGTGTATCTAATTGTGCCAGAAATAATAATAATAATAATAATTTTAAACCCCACAAACTGCAGAGAAAGGGATTGCTGCACATGTCTCTATTTACCTGCAACATGCAGCCTCAGAGATGCAGTGAGTGTGTTTTCTGCCTGCTCTCGGTTCACGCCGCGAACACCGAGGTGCGAAAGATTTAGTCCGTGCCATGTGTGAACCAAGCGAGCCTTGGAACCTGCCCAGATCCTCTGCAAAGCCAGGGGGGTTTCTTTGCACACACGCTGCCGGTTTCTCCCTGCAATCAGGTGAAACACCGCAAGGGTTCTGTCCATTAGGAAGCGTGAAAAACATGCTCATGGTCGATGCCAAGATATAAATAGGGAGCAAGCTGCATGCATTGTGTCGGAAGCTTGGGCACAGGCAGCAGTCGGAGGCAGGAGCTCACATGCTGGCCATGTGGCGGGAGGGACGCCTGCTTGTTATAAGATCACACAGTGTCTGCTGTTTACCTAGGAGGACGGAGCAGCACATATCCAATGGAAACATTCCCTCCACACCCGGCCACAGTAAGTATCAGCCGGAGGGGCTGGGCCCCCAGGGCCCGTGTGATGCATGCCGTGTGCTCTGGGCAGCTCCCGCCACCAGCAAGCTGCCCGGAGACTTCAGGGCCTCCTGTGCTGAAGCTGCAGAGAATCCCACCTCTGAGCTAAAGCAAGAGGAAGTGGATTGCTCCATCCCCGACCACGATGCATCCTGAGGAACACCTCCCGGATCCTTCACTTTCTTTAATGGGGCATGGGGAGGACTTCACGACTCTTTCAGCTCCCGTTTCCCAAAGCCTGGCTTCTGTGCTCTCAGTTCCTGGGGAGAAGGAAGCTACTGTTTTCTGCGGAGTGTGGGTGTCTGGCTCTCCCCTGTGGTTCTTGCTGGCCCCAGGCCCTGCCTCGCCTTCTGGGACTGCTGCTGCAGCTGGTGGTGGAAAAGGCTGGAAGGGTTTGAGGGAGGTGGAGGGGCTGGGCGGGAGGTCCCCTGGGAAGCGGTGGCATCTGTCCTTGGCCACTTCCCCAGTCTCCCTGGGATCCCGTCTCTCGGGTCAGTGTCTGCCCCTCGCTATGCCTGAGCCTCCCTGTGAAGTCTGGGGCAAAAGCGAGGAACTGTGGGCTTAGGGGGGAGCTGGGGGCTCCCTCACTCTACCCTTCCCTAGCCTCGGAAGGCTCAGGACCCAGCACAGGTAGGAAGGTAAGACAGGTGGAGCTCGAGCAAGGGGGAAGGGGATGAGAGAAGGGCTGGAATGAGGAGGGAGAGACCCCCTCCTTCTCATGACCCCGGTCTTTCTTGTGCAACTGAGAGGCTATTTATTATATTTCCTATAAAGAAGGGGCGAGAGGGCAGATAGAGTCTGGGAAAGCTCCTGCATCTTTAGGAGTTGATTAAAGGGAGAAAAGCTGCTCTTCCCACACAGCTATGCTTTAGTTGGAGTGCCTTCCTTTCTGTGCAGATCTTAAAGGTCTCCTGGCCCTTTGGGAATCTGGAGAGCCCTAATTTCAAAGGAAGAACCCTGGCAAGGTGTGGTCTTTGCAGCACATCAGCTTATGAATCTTGCCTGCTTCTGCTAACCCTACCACCAAATTGCTCATCTCAGCCTTTGGGTTTGGAAGCAGAAGCCATGGGTTTTCAGCGCCTCCTCCTTGGTTCTGGTGGGCTTGGGTTGAGACGTGGTCCGTGGTACATTCTGGTTCCCTGATTATGTCTCTCTGTCCTGTCTCTGTCATTTCAGACCAGGGAGTTTCTGAGACCAAGGCCAGATCGGTAAGGACAGAACCTTTACGATCCCTAATGTATCCAGACTCTGGAGTTCTGTTCCCAGCTCCAGGCGGGTTAATGGGGTCCAGTTAAAACAGAAGAGACCAGGCATTCTGCTGTCTTTTAGGGACCATTCTCAGTCCTGAGAAGGAAGTAGCGACTCCTTAGAGGTGCTCAGTATTTTACTGGCCTGTTCCTGTTTCTCTAAGGCTAAACTACATGGTCTATTTAACAGATAGCATGTGGCTGATCATCATCATCATCATTCTGTTTACTTCTGTGTAAGCATGCGGGGACATGATCCAGACTGTGTGAAGATAGGGGATGTTTATACCTTCCCATCCACCCATGTGTTTTGGAAACTATTCAGCCACCCTGGGGACAAAAGATGGATGGATTTCTTCTTCTTCTTCATTTTTAGTCCTCACATGGGTGGGTGGGTTGGCAGGGAAAGTATTTAACATATCATGTAATTTAGCTTTAAATACCAGCTTAATTTGAGGAAGTTAGCAAGCGACATATGTCTATGCCATGAAAGCATCGCTTGCTGCTTGCTGCTAGACACAATTTGCTTCCAGAGGAGAATTCTGTGGTGCGCTCACCCTGCCTTGAGGAATTTTATGTGGAGTCCAGACAACATGGCCTTTTATGTGTTTTCTCACTGCATATTCCACCTTTTATCTTTCTACATACACACGCACACCCCAGTTTTAGGGGAAAAGGTGGGATAACTGTGCCATGGCCTTTAATTAGTAGCCCCTGGAGCCCTCCTCCTAGAAGCACCCGCAGGTACATGCCAGCCTCTCTTTTGTTTTTTCCTGGTCAGTTGGTAACCCAAAGTCTAATGGATTCTAATGACTCAGAAATCCAGGGTTCTGATCCCAGAGATGAGCAGGTGAGTAACATATGGTACCCATACAGACAATCAAACTACCCCAGGGGCATCTTTCTTGATCCAGGGTAAGTTGGGTAAGTTGGGTAAGTTGGCCAAGCATGCAGCCCTCACCGAACCATGAGGAGGATTTTTCGATGCACCACGTGCAGGTGTGAGGGGAAATCGTAATTGGTAACCTTCCCTGGGGAATTCAGTCTGCAGGTGGGAGAGGAGGTTGCTAGGAGAGACTTGTGGTTTCTCCAGGGACCTTACTCGGCTGTTTTCTTCCTGACTCCTGCAAGGCAGCTGGGCGAGGGCTGGGTCCTTGATGGGCTTCTCATCAGGCAGAAACAGGGCAACTGGCAGCCCAAGGGTAGACCAACAGGGGGGAAAGGAAAGTCCAAAGCGTGGCAAGCCAAATACGTTTACTAGTCATTCACTATCAAGAAAACTACGTTGGATGTAAACACGTATCCCAACCCCTTTTTGCCTGTCTCACTGGACAGGTGGACTGAGGTGGGTGCTTATGATGCAGTGAAGGTATTGCCAGAACGCAGGAGTGCAGGTATCTTGCAGGCGTCAATAACGGTCCTAAATCTTGTCTTGTGCTGCTGCTGTTCCTTTTCTTTTTAATGAACTCTGGACATTGGAGGAAGGGGCCTGCAATATTACCTGGAAGGGCAGGTGTCCCACAGGCCCCCCTGTGGCGAGGGCACTGCCCCCAACCTTCCCGGGCTCCACCAACTCTTTATGTTCTCTTATAGGGTGAAGAGGACATACAATATTCAACACTAGCTTTCAGCCCCAGCAGCCCTGCCAAAGCAGTCTCGGCGCCTCCTCCTCCTCCTCCTTCGGAAAGCAATACCATTTACTCAGAAATCAAAAAGAAATTATCAGGATAAATCCTTCCTCCGTGCTCTTGAGCGCATGACTCCCCACGCCCCGGCTCTGCTTCCCTTACCTGGATTCTCATGTGCTGGGCGCGTGGAAAAGAATGATTACCTCTTCTGAAGAGGGAGGAGGGAACCCCTCCTATGCACAACCAGATTTCCTCTCAAATCCCACCCAAGCCCTTTCAGATTCAAAGAAAAGGACAGGCATTTCTGTCCACACCACAAAGAGTTTGCAGCCAAGCCCAGTGATCAAAGGACTGGACTTCAGACACGTGGTGCCAAGCGAGGCGGCTGCATCCTCCGAAGCGGCAGAAGGAAAGCTGTCAACGGCCCGCTCTCTCTCTTCTTCCTCTCCCACACTCCCCACTGCCAGTGTTGCAGCGATTCCTGGCCGTGCCAAACCTCCCGTTGCTCCCTCGCTTGGGTCTGGGGTCCCCGGGCCGCCGCACTTCCTGCTCTCTCCGGCTTTCTCCAAGCCCCCACTCCAGGAACTGAATTCCTGCCAGCCAGGTGAATACAAGGAAGCACTCAATCCTGAGGAGAAGTGTACAGTATCTGCCTTGGGTATTCACCATGTTTCAGCAAACAAACAACCACTTTTGTCTGCCTCCCAACTTCTGCTGTACAGCGAGTTTATTTGCCGTCTGGAGTTCTGTGATTTTAGTGCACCCTTTCCTGCCCTTTTACATAAGTGAATTTGCTCCACGGGTGCGCTCTGGCGCACGGGAGCAGGTGATCTGCGACAGCGAAGGCTCACCCGAACATTTTTGCTTCTGTTCAGCAAGCCATTATTCCCCGCTTCCTCCCGATTAATAGCGTGACCCTGTCCAAAGCCAGAGGATGGAAGCAGGAAGACACACTGCGGAACAGATGGGGCCAGACTGGTGAAGCAGCTGAGCTGATAAACACGCAGGAGGTGGCCAGCAAAAGCAGCTGATAAACACGGGGCCTCCTCCCAGGCTCTCCAACGAAGCCAAGCGGACGCCTGGGGTGCGGCAAGGAAGAGAGCAGTGCTAAACCATTAGCGGACGATGGCGAGTGGGTTTGGCTTTCACTAGCCCTGGGCGAGAGAGGGCTGCTTTGTATCAGCCTGGCTCGTTGGCAACCCCAGAGCTGCCGTGTCAAAGAGCCTAGTTCAGCCTCGATGCTCACTGAGCAGCTTGGGGCAAGTTGTCCTTTACATCCTGGCAGGGCTGTTGTGACGCTGCAAGGAGATAATCTTGAGCCTTTGGGGTGGGTGGGTGAGATTACAGGCAGTTAATTGCAATCAGAATCCTAGCTTAGCTTTCTTCCACACTGCAGAGGAACGTTTCGGTCAGTCGGATGGAACAGGCAGTTTTGCGAAGCACCACGAAGTGGCGGAGCCGTGGGCTGAGCTGTGCGCAATTGTCTGCTCCGCTTTGGAAATCCAGATTGGCTCTGCAGCCGGCCAAGCTCCGTCGAAGTTAGTCCGACCGCCAGATCCAGAGCTTGCGAGATCTTGCCTGGGGGGCAAGGAGGGGACGGGGTGGGGCTCTCCCGCATCCACGGCACACTGCTGTGGCTGCTTGGTTGGTGGCTTCATCTCCCCCACCACTCTGTTGGCAGCGCCCACGTGCCCTGCCGAGCGATAGCATCTGGGACACTCTGGGCCTTGCTAATTGGCGGGTGGGGCTGGAGCACAGACGTGCGTCCGTCCATCCGTCCGTGCGAAGCCCGGGGACGGAGGGACAATGGGGCAGTGTTTGGAGCAACCGCTGCACTCGGGCCGCAGCGCCACACTGGAGCGATACAGTTTCTGTCCCCTTGAAGGAGGCCTGTCCCTCCGAGGAGACCCAGCTGGCCGGCTGGCGAAGGAGGGCCGTGTGACTTCAAGGAGGGAACGCACAGGCTGGGGGTGGGCTGCAGGATGTGGTGACGGTGAAATCGGGGCTGCTGCTTTGGTGTTTGTATAATGAATCTCTGTTTTTAATTAAAAGAATGTGAGTATGGAGACGTTTTGTGTGGGTGTTGTGGGGGGAAGGGGGGCTGCAGAGAATAGGGCTGCGAATGAAGGGGGGAGGCTGGCGGCCACAGCCTGGGTGGCTCCCCCGTTGCGCGGGCCATTTGGGGTGGCGGGGGAGTCACCTGGAGGCAGCGTGGGGAAGACGGCCGAGAGCGCTGGTGGCCCACCAAGCCGCAGTCCGTCCGTCCGTCCGTCCTTGCATATTGCCCCAGACTAAAAATGGGGAGATGGGGCAGCTTCAGGGCACCATGTGAGCCTCAGTGCATGAATGCTGATCTTAGGGCAGCCATGTGTCCTCTTTCAGAGAGGACAGTCCTCTAGTTGAAGGACTGTCCAGACCAAAGATGAAGAACCACCAAAAGGAATTGCTCAAGCACATTGAAGTTGTCCGTCAACAACATCTGGATAGCAAACTGAGCAAGGCACCCGTGGTGAGGTGCATCCCCTGCCTATGCAAATATTATGTGAATCAGTCTCTCTTGGGGTGGCATTTCAGACACGGCCACCTGCTGTGGTGTACAGAGTTCTGTGTGACCAAATACGGAACAGCCTGGCTGTCTCCTTGGCTTCCAGTTACCCTGCACAGGTATCCTTTCTTCCCGTCAATACGCATTCTTGGTGCTCCTCATTCTTCATTCAGGAGAATTCTGTAGTACCAAGAATTTACTGCACCTCTGCATATTGTCTCTATTTTCTGCAGCTGTGCATCTTACAAAGATTGTACGGGAAGCAGAAACATAAAGGGACGACGTTTCCTCTGTCTGCAGCTGCATGGCAGGGAAAGCTCTACTTGTTGAATTTCTACCTGCCAGACAGGGTTTGGGGGCCGGGAATAGATGAAAGCCCTCTCTTGCTTTCATCTAGTCTGTTCGTGCTTCCTCACTGGCACCTCCCAGCAGCCTGCAGATCCTCTTCTCCCAGCTTGCTGGTTGGGTTGTTATGTGCCATCAGTCAAATCGTGTCCAGCTCATGGTGACCCCATAAGTGCCATTCAAAGTGGTCTGTCCTTGATGGCCCTGCCCAGCCTTTGTAAATCGAGGGGGGGGGCGGGGGGGCTTCTGTGATGGAGCTGATCCTCCCCAGAGTTGGTCTTCCTCTCCTTCCTCGATCGTCTGCTTTCCCTGGCCTTGATCGTCTTCTCCATGCAAATAATTCTTTTGTTACCACCTCTTTCCCTACACTGTGCATAGGGCCACTTTCTCCATCAGAATAGCCTGCTGTGCCAAAAAAAAGAAAGAAAGAAAAAGTTTCATCTGGTGAATTTCTGCCATTCAGGCTGACCTTAAAGGCAAAATGCAAGCCCTGTGCAGTTGGCATGGCTTTTTGTTTTTCTTCACAGTAACACTGACAGTGAGGGTTAAACCAGTTCTAAACCAGTTATGGTTACACTGTAAACACTGCCCAGGCAACTTTTCCCAGAAGAGACCATGTTCAGAAGATGCGTTCTCATGCCAAGCTTCCCTGTTAATTCCCATCTTTTGGCTGTTGTACTTTCTTTTTTTTTAATTTATATCCTGCCTTTTTCCTACAAAGGGCTCAAGGCAGCTTACCTCATTCTCCTCCTCCATCTTATCCCCACAACAACAACCCTGTGAGGTAGGTTGGGCTGAGAGTCTGTGACTGGCCCAGAGTTGGCTGCATGGCCGAGTGGGGACTCGAACCCGGATCGCCTGAGTCCCAGTCCCGTGCTCTTAACCACTACGCCACACTGTTGAGAGCTCTGCACCTCACGGCTGGAGTGGCTCTGTGTTCGTGCTAGAGATTGTTCTAGAGATTGTTCTTTTGGTTAAAGATCTACTTGTACGATAATTATGTTTCCCAGTTTGTCTCCTGCAGTTCAGAATATACTTCAGCCTATGAGTCACCAGGACACAGTGCCTTAAAACAGTGCTTGTCCCCCTTCATTATTATTTTTAAAAGCCTGCCCGATTTGTCTAAAACTGGGGGAGGCAGGCCAATGGACTTCATTAAGGGACCTCCTATTTTACGGTTCCTCCTTGCTCCTATATCATTTGAACCTTGCATGCATGGAGGTTAACTTCTAGGAATCCAGATACCAAGTAGGAGGAAGCTTGTGTGCCTTGCTTTGCGCGTGCGCTCGCTCGCTCGCTCGCTCGCTCTCTCTCTCTCTCTCTCTCTCTGATTCACAAAGGACTATGGGCTGCAAATGGGGACCATCTTTGTTTAGAAGGACCAGTTGGGAAGCCACATCTGGGGCAAGCAACATACAATGCTCCTCATGTTGGAATGCATGCCCATACTGACCAGGCAGGTGGGAACTGCACTTTGCCCCAGTTTCCCAGGCCCGCTGTGGTTCAGCACTGCTTCTGGGTTTTAATTTTATTCTTGTTAGTTTGCAGAACATCACAGATGCCGATCTGCAGGAGCACTCGAGGGTGCACCATCTGGAAGTTCCCTAAAGATTCTCACTTGGCAAAATGTGTCCAGTCCTGGGCACCAAGATTTAAGAAAGATGCAGGTAAATTAGTGAGGGTCCAGCAGAGGACAACACAAATGACCCAGGGTTTGGAAACATTGCCAAATGAGGAGAGACTGAGGGAACTGGGCATGTTCAGCCTTGAGAAGAGAAGGCTGAGGGGGACATGGTATCCCTTGATAAGGACCTCAAAGGCTGTCACAACGGGGAAGGTCAAGATCTCTTCTCGCTCATACCAGAGTGTAAGGCACAAAATAATCAGTTCAAGTTGTGACAACCCAGATTCAGGCTGGACATCAGGAAGAGCTTCCTCACTGTCAGAGCAATACGACAGTGGGACCAGCTGCCTGGAAAGGTGGGGGGCTCTCTCACACTGGAGACATTCAGAAAGAAACTGGACAGCCCTCTGGGTGGGATGGTGTGACTTGGAGTCCTGCAACAGCAGGGGGTGGACTGGATGGCCTTCATGACCCCTTCCATCTCTACTATTCTATGATTCTATGAAAATGCTTGATAGTCCCTTAAAATAGTCCCTTAAAAACAACAGCCCCATGGGGGGGAATCGATGCAGATGAGGATGTGGAGGTGAGGAATTCTTCCCACTAAGGATGTGGGACTTCACCATGGCGCTTTTGAATGCATTGCTGACCGAGAGCCACCTTGTCTGGTAGTCCATGAACAAGAGCCAAACGGTGCAGCCTAAAATAGCCGCGTTGCTGGGGAGGAAGCGACCTGCAGTCTCCCCCACTTCCCACCGCTTGAGGCCCTTCGCGTGATGGACGTGTTTGCCTCTGTCTTCCTTCTGCGTCTTTCCGAAGCAGCTTGGCAAACCGAGGGGGTTACAGGATTCGATTTAGAAACTGTCACATGTTCCAACACCCCCCACACCACAAACCGAAACCCACGATGGGTGAGCATATGGTCAGCACCTGCTATTAGAAGAGCACGATATTTGCAAATCTGATTTGTATGAAGTACAGGAAGGAAGTTTGGCCGCCTTGAGCATAAAAAACATGGGATCACTTCCTAGGTGGGAAATTAATAATAATATTAAGGCACACAAGAGCTGAAGCAAGCCTCTTTCTTCTCCCCTATGGATTTACAGCCCACCTTTTTTCCTTCAAGAAACCCGTAGGGACTTAAATAGGCTGCCGCCTCCTCTCCATGTTACCCACACAACAACCCTGTGAGGTAGGTTAGGCCACGGGCCAGTGACTGGCCCAAAGGCACCCAGTAACTTTCACAGCTCCGTGGGGACTAGAATCCATATTGCCCAAGCCCCATGCCAACACTCTAACCACTAGGCAACACTGGCAGCAGGCCTGGCTGGTGGAGAGGGAGCAATTCCTGACGTGTGGGAAGATAATGCGAGGGCTGCAGGGTTCTACCTGCACATTTCATGTAGTGTTTAACCTGAATCCCAGGATGACTGTTTCATAGGCCAAACTGGGTCCATGCATTTCATAAACATACATGCTTCTGGTTCAGCCCTAAGGGCATTTATCCCTCCTGTATAATTAAGATAAACACAGTGGATTGCAATGCCTAACTACAAATACAAAGCAGGTGCCCAGAAATGAAGGGAGCTTAAACAAAAGGAACTAACTGGAAGCCAAAGAAAGCAAATCAATCGTCGGGCTTTTCCAAGCAGCAAGACTTTTGGAGCGCGCTGAGGAAGGCTGCATTGCAGGTTTGTCCCGTCCAGATTAATTAAAGTTGGGCATTTCTATAAGCCAGTTAAGTCAACTATCGTCCGGGCTAGTCCGACTGGACACCTGTGGCTGCCCAATGCAGAGGATAAGATCGGGCAGCGAGTCGGAGAAGGCCCCGACTGAAAACCAAGCAGAACGAGGGTGCTTCGGTTTTACCAAGATGCCACTGGGAGGAGAAAACCTAATCCTGCATCTTTACCTGTGGTCCAAAATGCATCCCAGCAGCCATAATGTTGATGGGCTAAAGGCATTTATATGGATGTTCCCTCAAAAAGAGAAACTGTTGCCTCCCATGCAAAGAAGTACCATTTCCTACAACCCACAGAGAAAGCTGAGCTCATGCTAAGCAGATGTTAATAGGACACCCCCAAAAGGCAGTAAAATTATAGAGGGAGAAGAACCAGAAGAGACTCTGTCCATGATCAAATTAAGCAGTTGGAGCACGTGTATTTTGACCCCCAGTTGAGAGCAGAGGGTGGGGAGCACTGCTTGGATCATATGCCTGGAGCTCCAAATAGTTTTAAGTTGTCTGAAGGCATCTGCCATGTTGTGTGATGAGAATGAGAGAAACCGAGACAATTTTAGAAGCAAGAATGAAAGCTCCATCTGACCTCAACCCCAGACAGCTGCTTATGCATGCAGATTATTTAAAGCACCATCAATGGTATATTAAGAAAGAAGATTCTTTTCCCCCCTCATCCAAAACTAGAAATGCGGCCGCCGTTGTTTTCTCCCACCTCATAACATGGGTGGACCTCCATTCTCCACATCTCGCCCTGGTGCAACATGAAGGAGGAGCTGGGCGTACCCGCCTCCAAAAGTGCTGAGTCCACACCTTT